TGCTCCTCACCCCCACAGGGCTCCAGTGTGTTTCCTGGGTGTCTGGACCAGCACAGTGCAGCCTGAAGCTGGGCCATCTGGTTTCACTAGCAGAGGGCTTATCTGTTGTTGCCTCTCTGTCTAGAAGACAAGGTCCCTCCCTGCTCAGGCTCTGAGACCCACAAGTCACTTCCCAGCAGAAAGAGAGCAGCTATACTGGCCAGGGCGAGTCCTTCTGCACACAGGCAGGTCAGCACAGGCTCTTCATGTGCACTCTCAGCTTCAGGGCTTGCTGTCACTCTGGCCGTGGAATTAGGATGGAATTAGTGTCTCCTCACTCTCTGCTCCATTCCTGAGTGAACTGAAGCTAGGGACAGTGTTTTCCTGGGGGGGGGCGGGGCCGCGGGGTCTCCCAGGGAATAGGCGGGACTAAAACCTCTCAACCCGGTTGCCAGGCAACCCTTCCAGGTTCCTCGAACCCTTGTGACCAGCAGAATCAGGAAGAGACCCAGGACACAGGTGGCCCTCGAGATCCCCTCCGCAGGGACTTTCCAGTGAGCCGCTTCGTTGCTGGTGTGGAATGTGTGGGCAAACCCCAGGAAGGGCTTAGCCAGACTGGTTTCAGTGTGTGTGTATTCACCACACAAGTGTGGCTCCTGTTTCAGTGGAGAATTTTTATTGTTTCAAAAGATTTATGTGCATGAGTGCTTGCCTGCACGTACATCTGTGCACTGTGTACAACCCTGGTGCCTGCAGTACTCAGGAGGAGGCTGCATCCCCTGGAACTGGAATTATAGGTGGTTGTAAACAATCACGTCTTCTGCCAGAGCCAACACGTACCTTTAACTGCCAAGCTACTTCTCCAGCCTGAGATTTCCTCATATTGAAGGCATGCACTTCAATATGGTTTACTGCTCTCCAGCTCACCTTCTGGAGAAGGTGTTTTGAGTCTGGGAACCAGGGATAGGTCTTGGAGCAGGAGGATGTAGGAAGTTTGTAGGAAGCAAACTGAAGGGGGCTCCAAACACCCCTACTTGCTTCTCTCTACCATCCAGGGCTACCACTAAAGCCCACCAGGTAGGTAGGCCCTTCCCCAAGACCCAAAGGAAACTTCAGGTGTTTTTCTGGGGTGAGCCGTCCCTGACTTCCAGTCAGGTTCACAAGACACTCCCTGACTTCCACAAGAGGCAGACATGGGGTACAGGCTGAGATAGGTCCCAGGTTGGCCCCTCTGCCTAGTATCTTAGTAGCCTGTGGCTTATCCTGCGGGGGCACATTTGAAATGGCTTTTACTCATATAAGTGTACCCATGGATGAGTGGGACACCAGGAAGGTTTGCTGCTGACCTCCCCCCCCCCCCAGTATCCCACTGCCTTCCTCTTGCTGGGTCCTGAGTCCCATAGAAACTGGGCTGGGTGTGTGGTATGGCCTCCTCAGCTTAACCACACCAAACTGCTGTATGCCTTCCTGCAGAAACCAGGTGGCCCTGAGGCTGGCCTGCATCGGTGATGAGATGGACCTGTGTCTGCGGAGCCCCCGTCTGGTCCAGCTGCCTGGGATTGCTATGCACAGGTAACCAGCTGCCCAGGTGGAACCAGACAGGGCTGGGCCCCAAGGGAGCCCTGCAAACCTTGGAAGAGAGCATGGAAGTTCTCAGGCAAGCTTGAAACCCCTTGCCTTCCAGCCCCCATGTGGGTCCCCCAATTCCCCCTCTGGCCTTAGCAGTAGATCAAGCACCATCCAGGCCCTTTCTGTTGCCCCTCAGGCTGGAGAGTCCTGAGAGATCCCAACTCACAAGGCAGTGAGTTTGGCCCCAGAGGCTCAGGGGCCTTCAGAGTGGGAGCTGCTCCTTGGGGGTGGCTCTGGGCAGAGGCAGAGGAGCACAGGGGCTCTCTGTGGACCATGCTGTAATGGGTCACACTTGTACACTTCCAGTGCCTATCCGGCTATAGTAACCATCTTGCTCATCTCACGTCTTCCAGACTCGCTGTCACCTACAGCCAGACAGGTGTCAGAGGTATTTTCAGAAGCTTGATTGGAAGCCTCACCAACCTCAGGGAAAATATCTGGTCCTGGAGAGTCTTGACTCCTGGTGCCTGGGTAAGAACCTTGAAGCCTCTAGTCCACGTGTCAGCCTTCCCATAGGGCCGCCAGCAGTTCCTTAGCCATGCTGTCTAGTTAGCCACAGTCTCCACCCCTCTCTAGAGTTTTTTCCCCATCTCTTCGCACTACTGTCCCATCCCAGCAGCCTTAGTGTGTGCAGCAACAGCTTGACTGGCTGGTGAACTGAGGGATGGTTCAAGTACACACAGGCCACAGACTTCCTGCAGGGAGCCCTCCTCTAAAAGTTGATGCTCTTAGTCTTGGTCTCTGGGTCACCTCCCCTGCTCACCCCCATGTTCACACTATGTCCCAGGTCCCCCGGTTGTGCATAGAGTCCCCAAGAGCTGTCTCCTCACCCCGGGTGGTCCCTGGGCCTCACTCACCTTTCCCTCTTGGTCCCACAGGTGTCACCTGATCAGGACCCTGGGCAGCTGTTTCCCATGGTGCTGCTGGTCCTCTTGCTGCTGGGTGGGGCCTGGCATTTGCAGCTTCAGTGAGGTGCAGCTGGGGCAGGGCTGGCCTCTGCCCCACAACCCCTAGAGGTGCCGGCACCCTAACCATGCTGTTTTCTGACTCCCTTTTTTTTTTTTTATATTTAACTCAGGAGAGTGCTGAGATTTCATACAGGTTTTCTGGGTTTTTGTAAGGCAAATGAATTCACTATACCTCAGGAGCATTACTGGCTAAATGCCCCTGAGGCCTGGCTGGCCCTTCTCTCTTGACCCCCTGCTACCTTCCTCTCTGCAGGCTGGTCCTGTGGCCACCAGTGGGGGGAGTGCTGGCCACACCCCTGTCTGTGAAGCCTTGAGGCACAGAATCTACTGGACTAGATTCCTTTGGGGCGGAGAGTTCAATAAAGTGTTGTTTCCAGGAGAGTTCAATAAATGTCTCCAGCCAGCCTCCCCTTAGATCCTCTGCAGGGCTGCTGCGGTATTGGATGTAGATGGTGGGGGGAATTTAAAGTGGCCTCTGCCCCCAGTCCTGTGCACCATACCTGTACCCAAGGGCCATAAGAATGCCTCCCAAAGTTGCTCCACTCCCCCCAGTTTCTCTGTGTAGCCCTGGCTGTCTTGGAACTCACTCTGCAGCCCAGACTGGCCTTGAATGCAGAGATCTGCCTGTCTCTGTGCTGTCATGCCTAGCTCCACTGCACTGTCGTGTCCCCTTCTGCCTGACATCCTGATGGGGAAGTCTGTCCGCCTCCTGTGTGCGCAGGTGCAGCTCTCTGAAGAGCTGTGGTTTTGGGGTGTGCTACACAAGGAACACCAAGAGGAGGGCCAGGCCTCCCACTACTAGGTTCCATACCTCCCCCAGGCCTGGCCTATTATCTTTCTAGACCAACCGGGGCCTCCACTTGGTTCCAGCAGTGGAGCCTGGAACTTTCGTTTCCATCTGCCCATTCCCATCTGACACCAAAACAGTGTTGTCCCCCCCCCCCCCAATGACTACCAGTGGCTGTGACCACTTCCTTTGGGCTCCCAAATGCCTTGTGTCCTTGAATTGTCCCACACTATCCAGTTCTGGGTGAGGTGCTTGTTTTGAGGTACCCACCCCTGCTGTCCTGAGCTCCCCTTTCCCACCTTGGCCTTACCTAGCAGCCCCAGTGCCCTTCCCAGGAGGATGGGACCATGAAGGAAATGCCTTCCTGGGAAAAGCCAGTTTTGGAGATGGGGCAACCTGGCATCAAGACCAAGGGTTAGGAGAGCGGCTGGTGAGATCTCGGCCTGAAGGACTGTGACCAGAGGTGACTGATCCACACTGGCCATCAGAGCTGGCTCATTCCTTGGGACATGAGCTAGCTAACTCTACTGCACCTCTGATCCTCCAGGAGGGTTGGGGAGATGGTGGCAGCAGGCGTTGGAGCTTCACTGCATGCAGTGGAAGCTGGGGGCACACCGAGAGCACCTGGGGCACCCCCTCTCAGGTGCAGGTCAGCCTGTTTCTCTGGGTTTTCCACAGCTCCTAAGCCTTGGGTATCTCTGAAGTGGCCTCAGCCCAGCAGGTGCCACTTCCCATCCTCACACAGCTGCCCTGGGCCCCACAGGGTCTCCATGAAGTTGTTCAGAAAACAGAGGCCACCTGCTTTGGGTCCTACTCTTCCAGGGCACAGAACTAAACTCCAGAGCCCAAGCCAGGTCACCACCCATAGCTGTCTTACACAGGCTCACAGACTTCGGTGAGACCAGCCCCAGTTAACAGCAGCACTAGGACTGCTCCAGTGCTCAAGAGTGGGGATGGAGACTTGTCATGTTTGTCACAGCAGTGTGTAACTGCCTGCCTGCCTGCAGCAGGCCCAGGGCACACTGAGATGGAGGTTCTGGGACAGGAGGGCAACTTGTCGGGTGACAAGGCTGTGGGAATGTCTGGATCCTGTCATGTGACCACACTGGATGGGACCGACCACTTCCTGTGTGCTGTCATGGGCTACTCTGGTTTAGGTCTGTAAGCCAGTTGACCTCATGCTGGGTTCAGGAGAGGTGAGCCCAAGCTTCTGAGAGGATAGTACCTGTCCCCACAGACAGACAGGCTAAGGTGCTCCAGACCCTGGACCTACTCCCTTTGAGCAAACATTGCCAGCTTTCCAGAATCCCCCTCATTTACAGGCAGGTTGCACTGCCTGCTTGTGTCAAACTCAAGAGCTGCTAACACCATTCTCCAGCTTCAGCAGGACAGTGTGCTCAGAACAGTACAAACTATTTGCACTGGGCATCTGGGGGTCAAAAGGCCTGCAAGTACCACTGGTCAAGACCAATGACAGTTGTACAAGAATGAGACACTTGGGCAGTAGGACAGGTCCTGTCCAGAGGCTGACAGCTCTGCTGACAAGTCTATCAGATCAGGCACAGGCCTTTCCAACAACAAAACAAGTTCATGGGCCTCATTCCCAGGACTCCCCATCACTGAAAGAGAAAGCCAGCTGGCAGCTTAGAATGGCTCATGTGTATTATGTGTCTTCCCAGGACCTTCGCTACACTCCTGCTGTGGAGAGTCTGAGGGAAGCCATAGACACAGTATGGGACACACTGTCCATGGAAGACTTGCTGGTGGTAGTGTCTCTGTGTGAATGAACAGGGGCTGGCCTAGGAAGGTCAGAGTGCCCAGCCATCCTTCCTGCCTAGACACACCCCACCCCTTCACCGGTCTCCTAGTTTCTTATACAAAGGATGACCCACTCTAGGGCGTACATAGGCACTTAGTATGTGCTTCTCAGGAACATATGGCATATGGACTCGATCTCCCACTGGTCAAGTGAACAAAGAACAAGGCCACCAGACAGACTCAAGGCCAAAGGAGCTAAGATGTTGGCCCTGGGAGGGCAGTGTGTCACAGGCGGCTGAGAAGCTCCTCTGGCACCATACCTGGCTTGAAGCCAAGCAGTGTGTCCATAACACCCACAGGATAAGTCTAAGACTGCCCCAGGCTAGCCCTTCTGGATTCACTGAGGAACATGGTTGAGTGCAGACGCAGAGCAGCATTCTGGCTGAGGTAGTCTGCACGGTGCTCTTTCCCCCAGCAGCCAGATACCCTGTCAGTCGGAGGATAGGCTAAGTCACACATTGGCACTCAAAGGCTATGCTCTGAGGAAGGCTTAGCCACAGCTGAGACTGCAGTGTCCATTGTCCTTAAGTCTGAGGAAAAGAGGCAGGCAGGCGCAGAGGCTCGCCCTGGGGCCACGCCACTCGAGGTCCTCAGTGGTCAGGGTCCATGACGGTCTGCATCACGTCCACATGGCTGTAGGACTTCCAGGCCTGCCTGTTGCAGCACTTCAGGATACTTCCCAGCTGCTGCCCGGGGCCCACCTCAAAGGTGCTGGGGAACTCCATGCCTTTCTTCCGCTCGTAGATAGAGTGCATGGTCTGTTCCCACTTCACTGGCGACACCACCTGCTGCCCCAGCAGCTTTCGGATGTATTGTGGATGTGTGTATCTTTGCCCACTGACGTTGGAATGGACAGCAACCAGTGGCTTCTTGATGTTAATTGTGCCTAGAACTTTCATCAGGGGGTCCACAGCTGGCTCCATGAGGCAGGTATGGAAACCTCCACTTACAGGCAGCATCTTGGTGCGCCTGAAGTAATACTTAGCAGAATTCTTCCGGAGAAATTGAAGGGCCTGGAGGGGAAAATAAAAGGAATCTCACAGAAGCCAAGGTTCCAGCTGTTGCTGGCATCCTCATGGATGTACGGCTGTGTGTGTGTGTGCGTGTGCGTGTGCGTGTGTGTGTGTGTCTGCGTATGCATGCACAGTGCTGAGGTGGAATTCTGTGCATACAAGCAAGACTCTTCTACCACTGAGTTCCATCCACAACCCTTGGCTTTTGAGACAAGGCCATGGTACAGAGCTCAGACTAGCTTTGTACTCAATCCTCCTGCCTCCACTTCCTGAATGCTGGGATTACAAGGTGTGCACCACATGTGGCCAGTAAACTCTTCAGCTCTAACCGTAGTTCATTCTTTTACTCCTAGTTAACTTGGCTGCACAGTCAGTGTCCCTTCCTGAGTCTGTCTTTTCTTTATCTTTATGAGCATGAATGTTTCGCCTGCATGGATGCCACATGCACATCCAGTGCCTGAGGACAACAGACAAGGACATCGGGTCCTCTGAACTGGAGTTATGGGTGGCTGAAAATCACCATCTGGGTTCTGAAAACCAAACGTGAGTCCCTAGCAAGAACAAGTGCCCCTAACCACTCTACCGTCACCTCCGGTCCCCAACCACTGTAACGTCACCTCCGGTCCCCAACCACTGTAACGTCACCTCCGGTCCCCAACCACTGTACCGTCACCTCCGGTCCCCAACCACTGTACCATCACCTCCGGTCCCCAACCACTGTACCGTCACCTCCGGTCCCCAACCACTGTACCGTCACCTCCAGTCCCCAACCACTGTACCGTCATCTCCAGTCCCCAACCACTGTACTGTCACCTCCAGTCCCCAACCACTGTACTGTCACCTCCAGTCCCCAGCTGTCTTTGGAGGGAGCTGATGTTGATCTGCCCCAACTGAGAAGTGACCATGGCTGTTAAACAGAAATGCAGTATGTCTTGACCTAGGACTGACTGGTGGATCTCACTCCATACCACTCGTAATTACACTGTAGCCATCTCTCCTGGTTTCGGACGGTGCTGCTTTGGCTGTCTGCCCATCTCTGTGCCCCACTCCCTGATGAATGCACACGGCTCCCTGGGCATGGGAGTAGGACTTCTGACAATGAAGCCCAAACCTCCATCCTGTCTTTTGTCCCAAGTCCCAGTCCAGCCCAGCAGTCAGCCATGGAGCTGGCAGGGCAGGTGTGCACTCTACGCCACGAGAGGCCTGGGCTCTTACTGTTTCCAGTTCTTTTCAACCCCAGTGTTGGACACCCACTGAGGACACACCTCAGGAACTGGGAGACTTTCTGACCCTATAACACCATCTGTTCCACTATGCCTGGATTTGACCTCATGGAGGCATCAATGCATACAGCCGCTCAGTGACACTTCCTGAGGCGCGGAGTCCCCAAGTGCCTCTCAGGCAGAGTTCTGGATTAATCATCTCAAAGCCATTAAAGATAGGCCACAGTCTCTAGATCCAGAAGGCTCCTCTATAAAGGCTCCAGTTCTAAATACTGCCAAAAGCCAAGGAGCCTTTCCCGTATCAGTTGATGGAAATATACTCTAGGCTCAGTAGAACCCCAGTCTTCACCTGAGCTTTTTGGGGTAGCACTGCCAAGGCTACCAGAGTAGCACCTGGCATGTTAGCCAGGGTCTCCCAGGTGTAGGAAGCAGACTGGATGTGGTAGAGCAGACTTCTGCCTGCCTGGGGCCTCCTGTGCTTCTTTGACAAATCATGGGGTGAGCATGGTGACCCTCTACCGTGTCATGTTAGTCAACAAGGGGCTGCAGTGCTCACAGGTTCAGAGGTGGTGTTTGAAGACATCCAGCAAAGGTGACCCAGACAGTGGGGACAAAAAGATTGGCCAAGCAAGGGACCCACCAGTGTGAGAACACGCATTTAGTGGCAAAGAACTATGTCTGTTTGTGTGTGTGTGTGTGTGTGTGTGTTTGTGTGTGTTTTGTTTTGTTTTGGAGACAGGCTCCCACCATGTAGTCCTGGCCAGCCTAGAACTCACTATGTAGACTAGACTAGCCTTGAACTCAGAGTGATCCTCCTGCCTCTGCCTCCCAGGTACTGGGATTAAAGAAGTGCATCACCACACCTGATTATATGTTTCTGTTTTTGAGACAAGGTCGTAGGTAAGTAAGGCTGGCCTTGAACTCACTATGTAGCCAAAGCTGGCCCTAAATGTCACATCCTTTTGCCTTCACCTCCCAAGTGCTGGGTTGCCATGGCTTCGGTGGCAAATGCTGAGGCATTTGATTTTGAGTGCAGGGTCAGCACTGGCTGCACAGAAAGATTCTCAGATTTCTGGCTCTTGTCTCTCCACCTCAGCTTACACTTGTGTGATGGGATAAAGACGCCTTCTAGATGGTGGACTGGCAGTGCAGGAGTTAGACATGCTAACTGGCCCGGACATGGCTTCTGGCCACTTTCCTGACATCTCAGGTAACAGAGTCCCCAGCTCCCACTTCCATAGGGCTCCTACCCCTCCACTCAGGCCCTTTGCTTGCCCTGCCCGTTACTGTGCTCCTGGACTGGAGTGGCCTTGTTCCGCTGCTGCTCCTCTCATGAGATGAACACTAATGGGTCTGTGTCCCTAGTGCTGGTACACAGAATGTCCTGCTGACACCTGAAGAAGAGCAGCAAGCACTTGAATGCAAAATCAGACACTTAAGAAGCCAAGCAAAATCACAGAAGACGGCTCTTTTCCAAGAGCAGCCAGACCTCAGGCTCTTAAGAAGCCAGAACACAGTATGGAAAGGCCTAGACATGGTGTGACCTAGCCCTCTGACCTGACCCACAAGCCAGGCAGCTGGGTCACAAATGTCCTGTCTGCAGGGGACCAGGCACTCTCCTGGCTTCCGCTTCCCTCTGCAGCCCTCACTCTGCAACACATGCTCTCCACCCTCAGACATGTTCTGCAGACTACAGCACAAAGGACTGGAGGCTGTGAGGGCGGCTCCCATGAGCACTAACCTCTAGGTGTCCTGAGATGACCCTGCAGTCAGGAAAGAGGTAGTTGGACACCTGACACACCGGGTTCTCTATGCCCAAAGACTTGCAGTGCTCCTGGGCTTCCAAGCAGGCAAAGGAGAAGTTGGACTGACGCTGGCCGAGGACAGACAGCATCCCACTGGGAACAGCTTCTGATGCTTCTTGCATCGCTTCGGCTCGGACCTTCACTGCATACAGACCTAGCCAGAGGGAAGTGCATTTGGAAGTCTAACTGTGAAGTGGAGGGTGAGCCGTCATTCAGGGAAACAAGGACAGTGGTGCTGACTGCCAGCCCCAGGGCCACAGCTTTAATTATCTTTATGTGTGTGCTGCGTGGCCACATCCAGCACAGAAGAGAACTTACTGCATAGGACTGACCTGAGTCAAACCCTTAGCACCCACATAGAAAGTCAAGTATGGCTTGTAAACCTATAACCAAGCAAAGTAGGAGGTGGGCCAGCCTAGCTCCAGGTTCAAGGACAGACCCTGTCTCAGCTGAATGAGTGGTAAGACACACACTGGTCTTCTCTAGCATCTGTTGGTGCACATACATAGTACACACACATGCATACAACCACAGAGAGAACGGGAGGGGTAGGGAGGAAGGGAGAGGAGGAACAAAGGTGAAAAACAAGCCGGGCAGGGGTGGCGCCCACCTTTAGTCCCAGCACTCAGGAGGCAGAGGCAGCAAGAGACTGGCTCAGCATCTAAGCACGTTTCTGTTCTGTAGAGGACTAGAGTTCTGTTCCCATCACCCATATTGAGATAGCTCACAAGTTCCTGAAACTCCAGTTTAAGGGAATTTAGTGCCCTAGGCACTGCACACACATGGTACACATAAACTCATGCAAGCACATACACATGAAAAGACAGATCAATCTAAGTCAAGGAGCTTCCTGCCTAGGGCAGGACTGAAGCCTCTTTTTGGCTGTCACAACTGTCAGAGATTCTATTGAGAGTGATGGACAAAGACCAGGAGTCCTGCGACAAGGAACACCCTACAGTGATCAAGAAAATCCTGAAAACTAGAATCCCCTGGTCGCAAACATCAGTGTGAGTGCTTCAGAGCTCAGTGAGGGGCAGAGAAAAATAGACTTGGTGTGGGGCAAGCCCTAGCTTCAGGTCCAACTTTGAGCTGTGTGATCCAGACCTACAACATCCACTCTGCCTGGGCTGTTACTTAAGAAAAGCCGAAAAGCAACAGTCAAGAGCACCAGACACTCAGGCAGCTGTGAAACTACAAACACGCACATGAACACATAAAACATGGTTGTCATTAACCAGGCAGGAGTAATCCATGCGGAGCATGAGAGCCCAGCACTGCCAATGCAGGAGTAGAAATGGGCTCAGGTACAGCTCCAGGGCTGAGACACTGAGGAAGGACTATGACGACACTCCTGTCCTCTCCCAGTGTCTGCTCCTTGGGCAGGATAGGCTGACCGGAACAAGGAGAGACACAGGCACTGCCTGGGGCTTGACAGAAGAGCAAGGACCTGGAGGGGAGGCAGCCTCACACCCTTCTCTATGCACGCCATTCACTCAGCACTTGGGTATGTTCGTATGGAATTTACAGCTCTGTGTCCCAGGCAACTGTCGGGCATACACGTGCAGAACTGTGACAGGAAGCAGAACACACTGGAGGTAGTGGGTATGTGTGACCCTCTCCTGTGGGGGTGGTAAAGCAGTGACGGTGACACAGACACTCACACACACCTATGAACCCACTGTCATTCTGCAAACCGCACACAGTACTGCAACATAGCGGTTTTGGCAGACGTGGGCACACTGCTAGCCCTTCCATGATAGCAATGCTTTTAAAAACAGCACTGGGGTGGAGATATAGCTCTGTGGCGGAGTGCTTGCCTAGCATGCTTGGGGCCACAGGTTCAATGCCCAGCACTACTCCCTCAAGAACACCTTTCCCATTTCTCCCAACCCCAGCAGGCTCTAATCTGCCCTTTCTACCAACTAGACTCGTGTCCTGTGCACACTCATATTACAGTTTAACTGTACAGTAGCTCTCCTGTTTACATTCCCAGAAGCAGGAACCTGGGCTGACTTCTGCACACTCTCAACCTTCATCTCCCATAGGGTACGAAGTGAAGTTCGTGTGGGCTGTCTTGCACTTCCCTGTTGACCAGTGTCAGTAAACATAGGCTTATCATCCATCTGGGTCTCATCTCCCTAGAAATGTGCATTCAAGTCCTTTCCCTGAACTCAACTATAAAGTAGACTGTCAATCAGTGAATCATTCTGCCAGGCATTTGTGTGATGTTCTCTCTCTCTCTCTCTCTCTCTCTCTCTCTCTCTCTCTCTCTCTCTGTCTCTCTGTCTCTCTGTCTCTGTCTCTCTCTTTGTGTGTGTGGTCTGTGTGTGTGTGTGCGCGTGCATGTGAGTGGTCTGTCTATCTCTGCCTCTCCCTCCCTCCCTCTCCCCCACCCCCAGACTGAGTGTTACCTATGGGCGAGATGAAAACAAAAGGGCCCCCCCCCCCGTCCTTTTTGAGACAGGGTCTCACTATGTAGCCCTGGTGGATCATCTGGGACTTGATATGTAGAGCAGGCTGGCCTTGAGCTCACACAGATCCACCTGCCTTTCCTCATTCTCCAAGGGCTGGGATTAAGGGCACGAGTCCCAAGCTCAGCACAAGTGATCTCTCTGCCACAGCCTCCTGAGCAACCAAGCCGACAAGCATATGATACTTTGCCCAGTTTCAGCCAAAATAAATAAATAAATAAATAAATAAATAAATAAAAAGATCTTAGGAAATGGGGCTGGAGAGATAGCTCATCAGTTCAGAGGACTAACTCCTCTTGTAGAGAACCCAAGCTCAGTTTCCTGCACTCCAGCTGGGTGCTGAAACAGGCTTTGCAAACACTAGGCAATAAAGTATTCACTTACTTTTTTTTTTCATAACATGTATTGAACATCTTCCAGGTGTGACAGGTATAGAATGTGATAGTCTTAAAATGCAAAGCATTTTAAGGAGGGCCAGCAAGAGGGCTCAATGGTACCTGTGGCTAAAGCTAACAACCTGAGTTCAATCCTAGAAATCCACATGTTAGAAGGAATAGACCAACTTCTAAACAATGTCCTCTACTATCCTCACAGACACCGAGACATGTGCATCCACACATACATATACACACACTGAGACATGTGCATGCACACACATACATATACACACACTGAGACATGTGCATACACACACATACATATACACACACTGAGACATGTGCATGCACACACATACATATACATACACTGAGACATGTGCATACACACACATACATATACACACACTGAGACATGTGCATCCACACACATACATATACAAACACTGAGACATGTGCATGCACACACATACATATACACACACTGAGACATGTGCATGCACACACATACATATACATACACTGAGACATGTGCATACACACACATACATATACACACACTGAGACATGTGCATGCACACACATACATATACACACACTGAGACATGTGCATGCACACACATACATATACACACACTGAGACATGTGCATCCACACACATACATATACACACACTGAGACATGTGCATACACACATACATATACACACACTGAGACATGTGCATACATACACATACATATACACACACTGAGGCATGTGCATACACACATACATATATATACACTGAGACATGTGCATACATACACACATACATATACACACACCAAGGTATGTGCATGCATACACACATATATAAACACACACTGAGACATGTACATGCATATACACATACATATACACACTGAGGCATGTGCATGCATACACACATACATATACACACACTGAGACATATACACACATATACACATACACACACCGAGACATGTACATGCATACACATACATATACACACGCTAAGGTATGTGCATGGACACACACACACTTTTATGTAATTAAAAAAACAATGCAGAGGACAGTGAAGGATGGCAGCCAAGAAAATCTGGACCTCATGAATTACACATGGAAAGCAAACACACCTCAAATCCTAGAGACTTCAAAGGGGATCGGTGGAATCCAGTCCTTGAGATCCAGTGTCATCTATAGTCCTATGTTCCCTTCCCAACACCCCTAGCATGGATCCAGCACCACTGTCCACAAAGTCCCCTGTCCCCACTGAGCCCAGCAAGAACACAACCTGAACAAGCGACACTTCTTGTGTACCTTCAGCAAACTCCATGGCTCCAGCAAACACAAGGGCTGCAAACTCTCCCACGCTGAAGCCAGCCGCAGCAACACAGTTCTCAATGACCTGCGGAGACAGCAGATTATGAGGCCGAATCTTCCAAAGAACTCAGTCCTGGGATATGCCCCCCCCCCCCATAACTGTCAGGGCACTTAAGTGTCACCATGAGCCAATTCTCTGGTACTCCCCTTTATTGATGAGGACTTTAGCAAGGCAGCTAAGGTCAATCCTAGTCACACCACCAGCCAGAGCTCTGGTTCCTCTTGCCTCTGCCCAGAGTGGCTTCTTGGGCACATGGGGTATAGGAATTACAAGCACAGTGCCTAGGGCCACTCATGGCTGTAATCAGCACTAGAGAAGGCTAAAGCTAAGGAGTTTTGGATTCAGTGCCAACACAGCTACAGGACAGTTCACCCTTCTCATGCTCCCAAACAAAAACAAAAGTACAGGCATAAAACATGTTTTTCTGGGGGCTGGAGAGATGGCTCATCAGTTAAAAGCACTGGCTGCTCTTCCAGAGAACCCTAGTTCAATTCTCAGCATCCTTGTGGCAGCTCACAACTGTTTCTATTCCAGAGGATCCAACACCCTCAGAGACACGAATGCAGACAAAACACCAATGCACATACATTTTAAAAATATGATTTTGGCCGGGCGGTGGTGGCGCACGCCTTTAATCCCAGCACTTGGGAGGCAGAGGCAGGTGGATTTCTGAGTTTGAGGCCAGCCTGGTCTACAGGGTGAGTTCCAGGACAGCCAGGGCTATACAGAGAAACCCTGTCTCGAAAAACCAAAAAAATAAAAAAAATAAAAAAAATATGATTTTCCAGGCCACAGAAAAGCAGATTTAGTACCCCAGACCTAGTTCACATTACTACTAACATAAAGTAGGTAATGCTAGTATCTATAAAATCTCAGCACAGGCTCGGCCCAGAGAAGCATTGAGTGAATGTGCCACAGGACCATGATCGTTCCTGTTATCTGAGCCTCCTGTCACTCCTAACAATTACCTCAGAAGGTGACTGTGAAGGTAGAACAGAGGGTCTCGGCACCAGTTAATATGTATTGTCCTGGGATTACTCTATCTCAGCAGCAAGTGAACTCACATGCTCTAATAGCTGCTGTGCCATTTTCTGTCTTTTTTGACAGGGTCTCACTATGTAGCCCCGACTGGCCTGGAACTCAGCAACATCTGCCTGTTTTTTCTTTCTTAAAGATTGTGTGCACCAGGCAGTGGTGGCGCACGCCTTTAATCCCAGCACTTGGGAGGCAGAGGCAGGCGGATTTCTGGGTTCAAGGCCAGCCTGGTCTACAGAGTGAGTTCCAGGACAGCCTGAGCTACACAGAGAAACCCTGTCTCAAAAAACAAACAAAAAAAGATTGTGTGTGTGTGGCCAGAAGAGGGCAAAGGATGTCTTGGATCTCAAGTTACAGGCATTTTATGAGCCAGGGTCCTGGGGACTGAAACTAACTTCTACATGAGCAGCAAATACTCTTAATGACTGAGCCATCCCTGAGCCTCTAACATCAATTTCTAAATAGATTTCATTTAAGGAAGTCATCTTATAGAAACATCTTAAAAGGGCTGGAGAGATAGTCGGCTCAGCAGTTAAGAGCTGCTCTTCCAGAGAACCCAGATTTGAGTTCCAGCACCCACAAGATAGTAACAAATTGTCTCTAACTCAAAACCCAAAGGGTTCAGTATCCCTTTCTGGCCCCTGGGGGCACCAGACATGGATGTCACTCACAGACATAACATACTTGCAAAATACCCATACCTAAATCTTTAGCATTTAATAATTACTCCAGCAACTCAACCTCATGTAAAATCATGGCCCTTACCCTACTGTATATTTCTTTCTCTGACACACATCTTCAAAAAATTGTTTTTAAATTTTTTTATGTGCATTGTATTGTAACTTCCATGTACTTCTACATGATGGTGCCAGATCCCCTGTAACTGGAGTTATAGACAGTTGTGAGCTGCCATGTGAGTGCTGGGAATTGAACCAGGATCCTCTGGAAGAGCAGACAATGTTCTTAACCGCTGAGCAAACTCTCCAGCCCCTCAAATTTTTTTTTATGTGTGTGGCTAGGTGTGGTGGCATGAGCCTTTCATCTCAGCACTTGGGAAGCAGAGACAAGAGGATCTCCGTATGAGGCCAGCCTGGTCTACAAAGCGAGTTCCAAGATACCCAGGACTGTTACACAGAGAAACCCTATCTAAAAATAAAACAAAAAAACAAAATAATTTGTGTATGGATGTTTTGCGTGTTTATATGTTATGTGCACGTGGTGCACATACCTGATACCCCTAGAGGCCATAAAATGGCATCGGGTCCCATGGAACTGGAGTTATGGATGGTTGTGAACTACTACATGGGTTCTGGGAACCGAACCCAGGTCCTCTTAATTTCTAAGCCATATCTCTAGCCCAACACATAAATCTTTAATGTGCTATGTTAACTCAGTGAATTAAGTGTGAACTGTCTGCTCAAGATGCAAACTCCCCTGGAGCAGGGATCTTTATTTTGTGCAGTAGGTCTACAATACTATCAACGAGGACAGAAAGGGGACCAATAAGAACCAGACTGAGGAGCCCTGAGACCCAGCAGGCGGGGTTCGGTCCTCGTTCCTCGGCTCACCGCCGGCTGCAGGTGATGTAGCTTCTCCACGGCGGCCAGCGAAGCCACAAAGACGGCGGGCTGGCAATGCACTGTGCGGTCCAGGTCCTCCTGAGGCCCCCGCAGGCACAGTTCCAGCAGGTCGTAGCCTAGTATCCGGTGCGCGGCCTCATAGAGCTGCCGCACACGCGGGAAGCGGAGCAGGCCGCCACCCATGCCGACCGCCTGGCAGCCCTGGCCCGGGAAGAGCAGCACGGAGCAGCGCGAGGGCGGCCGCCGCGCCACCGCCTCCTGGACTCCCTCCTCGGCCACGCTGGAGTCCCGCAGCAGCTCCGCTACGTCCACGGCGTCCGGCGGCGGCTCCCGGAGGCTCGAGGCGGCGCGGCGGCCCCAGGAGGCCCAGGCCCACCGGGCCCGAGCTACACGGGCGTTCATACCGAGACGCAGAGCGGGTGTTCGTTACTGCGGCGGCTGAGACGCACTGCGGCTGCGCAACAGGGAGGTCCTTCGCGTATTTCCGGTCGGGTCACCTAAGCAGCCAGGAAAAAAACGTTCCTATGTAACTAATCTTAGCAGCTCTCAAACTATTTGCAGTTGCGTGTTGGTTCTGGAGTGGTTCGTGAGTTTCCTTAAACCTCCCCAGCTAGGAACCGGAGATAGCACTTCATAGTGAGCCTTCAATAAGTATTTACGTACTAAATTATGCATCACCGTCCAATAGAACGTGAAAGTACCGCGATTGTTTTTTGGTTTTGGTTTGGTTTTGCCCATGATTCTGCCAACTCTACTAAGCAAACAGTTTTCTTGCTATCTTAGTTGTGCTTAGCACAACTAAGGTGTCTGGCTCATAATAAGAAGCCAGTAAATCTCTGTGTCGTGGAACCAGGTCCACAATCTGAACCAAGTCAGATTCGCTTTTTAAATTCCTTAATTTATGGCCGAGTTGTAGGGGCGCAAACGGTTAATCCCAGCATTTCAAAAGCAGAGGCAGGCAGATCTGAGTTCGAGGCCAGAATAGTCTACAGAGCAGTTCCAGGACAGCTAGGGCTACACAGAGAAACCCTGTCTCAAATAATAGTAAGTAAATCCTTAGTTTACAAAAAAGGAGACAAATGTCATAAAGATTGAGTACCACATAGTTAGTCACAGAATGAAGACTGGAAGTTTTGCTTATGCTGTCTCTGGAAGCTATTTTGAGTCTGGGTCACACTGATCCTTACCTGAGCCCTGCACTCCATTTCCAGAACTTTGATCTGTTCTCATTTCCTGCCAGTGTCTGTTAAGGTGCCCAGGAAATCCACCCCCACCCCCAATACTCTCACCACAGTCTTCATGATGAGAAAGTCTATGTGGAGGTAGGTCTCAGTTTGCTCTGGCTGGCATACCAATGCCAAAGACTTAACGGCCTAAATAATGGAAATTATGTCAGAGTTCTTGAGGCTGAAAAGTCCAAGGTCAAGCTTGGCACTTGCAGATTCAGTGTCTGGGAAGACTGAATTCAGTGTTTGCGATGACTAGCTTTCTATATCTGTTAGGCTCCAAACCCAGACCCCCTCATCCCCTAACTCTTGTTAGTATACAGGCAATTCCACTGGCCTGCTCTCAGGGACCCAGCAACTGCTTCCCTCATCACCTGCCTTAGCCAGCTATGCCAGGTGTGTACAGCCACCCCAGATCTCTCTTTGTTCAGACACTCTCTTTCTCTTTCTGCTCCCCCCTCTCTGCCTCCCTCTCTACATGACAGTTTCCCTGGCCTCCTTTTTTTCTGAGACCAGTGAACCTGCCCGAAAGCTGCCCCCAATAAACCAGCTTTTATACTTTTAATTGGGCTTGAGTTGGCTTATTTTGTCAGTAGGGAAGTCCTATTAATCTCCACATGATAGATGGGGGCGTTTTCTAATAAGGATATTAATCTAATTCATGAAGGCTCTATGTCTACTTAATTGCCCTGACCCTCCTGTGTCCTCTAACTACCTCTAAATGCCTTCACCCTGGGGATTAAGGCTCAATATATGAATCTGATATATTGGAGGAGATGTACCACTTAGTACTTACTCCACATCACCAAGCACATTTCACTGAGTTTGAAGAAAATCAAATAAGCATTTCAGGTTGTCCAGTCTTATTTTATCATTTTATGTTTTAATATATGTGTGAAAGCATGCACACATGTGTGTGTGTGTGTAAGATAGATAGATGGATGGGTGGATAGATAGATAGATAGATAGATAAATAGATAGATAGATAGATAGAATGAACCTCACTATGTAGCCAGCCTGGAACTCATTATGTAGATTCACAGAGATCTACCTGCCTCTGTCTCCTGAGTGCTATGATCAAAGAAGTGTACCATCACACGTGGCTATTTTTTAGTTATCTGTATATGTGTGAGAGCTTGGGGAATCCAGAAGAGGGTGTTGTATCCTCTGGCTCTGGGATTATAGGTGATTTTGAGCCACCTGATGGAGGTGCTGGGGACGGAACTCAGGTTCTCTGCAAGATATACTCTCAATTGCTGGGTCATCGTTTTCTAGCCTTGAGGTCTTGCTTTTGATAAGGAAAAGGTCATATCCCATTAGAGGAAATTTGCCGTGTGAAACATGACCAGGGCATCCGGTGGTGGGGTGAAAATGGTGCAGAGTTCTTCAGCCTAGGGTCCAGAAATAGACAACCAAGGACTGTTCTGTTTTCACATGGTATTCATATGTGTATGCTTGAGTGGGATCTGTGCACCATGGCAGTATGTGCACACATGCATGTGTACACGTATGCAGAGGCAGGGAGTCAATATTGGTTGTCTTTCTCTATCGCTTTCTACCTTGTTTTTGACAGGATATTTCACTGAACCTGGAGTTCACTGACTCACCTAGCAGGGCTGGCCAGCAGGCTCCAGAGATGCTCATGCATGGCCAGCTGGTTCCAGAGATGCTCCCGACTCTTCCTCCCGAATGCTAGCATTGCAGGCGCACTCTCCCACACCTGGCTTATTTACATGGGCTCTGGATATCTGAACTGAGGTCCTCAAACTTGTGCAGCAAATGCTTTACTGACTGAGCCATCTCCCTGGCCCAAAGGAATCTTTATGAGAACATAAATTCCTGCCTGACAGTGGTGGTGCATGCCTTTAATCCCAGCACTCAGGGGCAGAGGCAGGCAGATCTCTGTGAGTTCAAGGCCACCTCTGTCTACAGAGTGATGTGGGCTGTAAAAGGAAGTTTGGTAAGTAGAGCAGGTTGAGACCCAGAGACTCAGTGGGCACACAACTGAGGATCAGCGACTCCCTGCTCCCTGCCAGATTCCCAGTCTGGAACACATGCCACGATCCTCACATAAGAAAATGTGACCTATGGCCATGTGGCCCCAAAACAGAGGTCTCCATGCTAATGGGGTTCCTAGAGGCCCCGGAGGGCTTAGCCAATGAGCTTCCCTTCCCAGACATTCCTCCCTGCAAAAGGTTTTTAATCTCAGGCCTACCCTGAGAAAATGTGTATAGACCATTTTCCACCACGACCAACTAATAAACTGTTTAGAACCGTGGATGGTCTTTTTAATCAAGATCCACCCTGGGGAGCCATGAAGAAGGCTACAGAGCTGCAACCTAATCTCCCATAAAAGGCCTCTCTGAGCTCCCAGCTCCAACTGCCACCAAGTCTGTCTCTACCAAGCTAAGGAGAATCACCCATGGGACAAGCTGGGGCTCCCCCTGCCCCCTGTCCTCTGATCTCTGGCCCCAGGCTAGATGCTGTCCCCAGTCTAAGCCACCACCCCCAACTCTGTTCTCTGCTCTTCAGAGACTCCCATCTGGACGTCCAAGGGTCTGAGAACCCCAAGGCCCTGGCCTTGCCACAGGTATGAGACCCCCCCCCAACTAGCTCTGGCTTTCCCACATCTCAGACTGAGCTTTCCTACCCCTGAGCAGTGTCTTGGTGCTTCCTGGCAGCCAGAGAGGGTGTTGGGTAAGTGCAAACTCCCTGCATTCTGCCTCCCCAGTGGTGGGGCAGACACAGAGTCAGTTCCAGGATACCTACATAGAGAAATCCTGTTTAAAAAAAAAAACACAAAAAGACATAAATTCCGAGTTCGAGGCCAGCCTGGTCTACAGAGTGAGTTCCAGGACAGCCAGGGCTATACAGAGAAACCCTGTCTCAAAAAACCAAAAAAAAAAAAAAAGACATAAATTCCACAGTCAGAAAGAAGATAGAAACCCTAGTAACTGATTGTCTTGAAAACAGAAAGAAGATAAGCAGACATGGAGAAAACTGAGGAACAGGTCTCACTGATGGTGGTGGCTCACACCTTTGATTCCAGAGGCAGGTGGATCTCTAGTTTGAGGCCAGCCTGGTCAACAGATTCCAGGAGGGCCTGGGCTACACGGAGAAACCCTGTTTCAAAAACAAAACAAAACAAAACAAAAAAACAAACAAACAAAAACCAAACAACAACAACAAAACAAAAGCCAGGTCTCATTCCTTTAACAGCATCCTTTAAAGCTTAGCTGTGTGCAATAGCAACTTCTTCTAGCAATAGGGGAAGAAAGAAAGTGCAAATCTATGTGAAAATATCCTTGAAAAAAATGATTAGATCCCTGAGCCTTTACCTGTTCCCTATTCCTGAAATCATCTGAGGAAAAGATCAAGGGAAAGATGGGGCATGAATTCAGGGATTCCTTTGAAACAGGCTCACAGTGAATGCTGACTATAGAGATCCTCTCCAGTGCTCTGCTTCAGAAAGCTCCTGGAATCCTAAAGTCAGACCCTTATCCTCCAAGTAAAGGACTGGAGAGCCCTGGCAAATACTAAGCATTTCGGGAAGAAACCCCTGAGGTCACTGATATTGCAGAAGAGGAACTGAAACTACTGAAGTCTCACCCACAGGCTTTATTTTTTTTTTCTGTTCTTTGATGATGATGATGATGATGATGATGATGATGATGATAGGGCTTTTTTGAGATAGGGTTTCTCTGTGTAACAGCCCTGGCTGTCTTGGAACTTGCTTTGTAGACCAGGTTGGCCTTGAACTCAGAGATCCACCTGCCTGTCTCCCGACAAACAGCTTTTGTACATTTTTTTTTTTTTAATTGTAAGAAGACATCCAAGGATTCCCATGCATCTAAGACAAGCCTCTGATGGGCAGAAAAGAAAGCCAACATATAGAATTTGGAAGCTGAGGAAAGAAGTAAATAATTGTTTTTAAACATTAACTTTAGGGCCCCTAAAACATCTCTGTAAGGTAAGGGTGCTTGCTAGTAAGGCAGAACCCCTGAATTTGGTCCCTGGAACCTACGTGATGGAAGGAGAGAACCAAGCCTGACAAGTTTCCCATTGACCTCATGTACAAAATAAATAAATGTTAAAAAAGTAATTAAAGCCCAGCAGTGGTGCCCCACACCTTTAATCCCAGCACTTGGGAGGCAGAGGCAGGCGCATTTCTGAGTT